TTTTCAGATAATTTTCTTTGTCATTCTTTTGGCCCTGGTGGTGGTTCACAACTCCTAGATCTCACTTTGTTCTCATTGTGGCTGGTGAAAGCAATAAGACAGCAGATTCAACATACACAGAGGCAGGGCTGAGTCTGTTCCTGATGTAATGCTGATGGCATTTTGTGAGCTTACAGAGGGATGAATTTGGCCTGGGCCTTCAATAGGACATGAACTGTCAGAAACAGACTCCCCCATTTGAAATGTGCACAGGAAAGAAGAATGCCCTAAATATTTCAGCAGGTTTGTAATTTCAGAGGCAGCATACAGGATATTGCTCTCCTCATTTGTCTTTTTGTTGTTGTTTTTTGTATTTTTTTAAGTAGAGAGAAAAGTTACCTTAGGCTCTTCATATGGCAACCACAAGTCTACCTATGGCTTTCAAGTTTCTTGTTCTTGTTCCTGAAGCATGCAAATAAATTTGCCAACATGCTTCTACTAGCAAAGAGACAGAGGGGCATAGTGGTTTGAGCATTGGACTAAGACTCTGGAGACCAAAGTTCGAATTCTGGCTTGGCCATGGAAACCCACTGGGTGACTCTGGAAAAGTCACACTCTTTCAGCCTCAGAGAATGGCAATGGCAAATCCCCTAAAAAAAAAAAAAATGCCAAGAAAACCCCATGATAGGTTTGCCTTAGAGTTGCCATAAGTCAGAAATGTCTTAAAAGCACACAAGAACACCAACAATTCCACTAGCAAAGATCCCCCTCTTTCACTCACTCATTCACTCACTTACTCTTCCTGTTCTTTTATCTCATATACATTTTCAAAATCAGAAGTTCATAAAATCTGGCATAACATGGGAGGAGGGAATAGAAAGGTCTTTTCTTTCAGTTAGGATAGGAATAAATATAGCTCTAAATTTTAATTTTTATATCATGTTCTTTTTTGGTACAACATCCCAACTCTCAGATGTCCCCTGAACCCATTACAGTTGCCCATCCCTGGTTTGATAGATCATTTTAATATTATAAGCCAGGGAGAAGATGATAGTGAGCCCTTCATGTTATTTGACTGCATCTCTTGCCATTGGCTATTCTGGTTAGAGCTGATGGGAACTGTAGTGGAACTGTACAGTTTCCCAACCCAAGGATCTTCTTGTAGAAAGAAAGGTAGGATACTAAATAATAGAATGCTGCAAAAGCAGATATACTCCATATCATGCAAATTACCCATTTTACCACTACTTGCTTTACAATGAAGCTACTGGTTTGTTGTAGTACATTCATTTTGCCTTATCGGTGGGCTAGGTATCCATGGATTGGGCATGCTGATATGGGCATGTGCACATCACCACCCATGTGGTGACTAATATGGGCTTTAGCTCCCACAATTTTCCCATCTGCGGAGGGGCCCAGAACCAATCTTTCATAAATGGGATGGGCCAAATGTATTTGCAGTCCCTGTGGTCAGAAGGAATACAATAGGAGGTGCACACACAAACTTCATGTTGAATGAATGCATGGAGAGGGTCACAGGACCAGAAGAGCCTCCCTTTCCCTTACACCACTGCTCTCCTAACATCTGCCTTTCAGCAGAAACAGGCTATGGCATTCCCGTACATCCCTTTAAAACAATTGAGCTCAGTGGAAGAGATGGTGTGAGTGGGATGAAGCTCAGTGGGAGGACAAAGGAGTGCCCTCAGTTTTTTTTAAATAAGTTTTTAAATATTTATTTAAATTTTTTTTTAAAAAAAGCACTTTTAAAATTTTCTTTAAAAACACCACATCTTACCAAATTTTCACTTTCACCACATGAAACTATGTACATGTAAATACATTCAGTCTGTGCATATGATATTGTAATTTTGTGTAATTCTAATGTGTGCCAGTGTGGTGTAATGGTTTAAGCATTGCACTAGGATTCTGGCAACCTGGTTCAAACTCAGGCTTGGCTATGGAAGCCCACTGGGTGACATTGGGCCAGTCACACTCTCTCAGCCTCAGAGGAAGGCAATGGCAAAACACCCTCTGAAGGAAATGTGTCAAGAAAACCTTGTGATAGGTTTACTTTATTGTTGCCATAAGTTGGAAATGACTTGAAAGCACACAACAACCACAACTTTTAATGTTGCTAGTTGTTTATGTCACAACTGTTGGCATTACATTCAGTGATATATAGGAATTATGATTTATGTACAAAATGTATGTACAAAGCATAGTACAAAAACATTACTAAGGTTTTTGTATGGTGTGGTATGGCAGGAGATCAATCGGGTGTGTGTGACACCATGAGTTATCGCACTGGGTGACACCAACCCTAGTGATGTCGCAAGTCTACATGAATGCATGTCATGCAATACCATCTGAGCACATACACCAACATTACACAACAGAAGAGAACACACACACTTTCTCTTTCTCTTTAAAAATCTCTTCCCCCACCCCAGTGCTTGCTAAAATAGCTCATTGAATCAATTCTGAATCCAACTGAGGGGAATACAGCAACCACTTTCCTTAGGACATTCATTTCTAGCTTTGATTCTTCCTGAGCAATCAAGATTTTGCCAGAACTTTCCATTGTGAAAGTACCGTATCACTGAATATGCATGAATAGAAAAGCCTTATTTCATTTCCACAAATATTTGCAGAGGATCTCTGGTCCCAATGGAATCTGTTAGGTAAATAGCTATAAGGAGGGAAATACTATTAACAAATTCCTTTAAGATGCAGTATTCCAATAAACTACAATGGCAGTTGGAATGAACAGCAAGTGTTGGGAGAAAATTACGGCATGGTTATAAGAACTGGCCAAATGCATACATAAGAAGTACACAGAATTGTCACCATGGCAACTCTCAGACTCAAAAGCCTCATTAAAAGTTCATGGAGTGTAGTATTTATAGCAGTTTAATCACCCTAAGAAGCTACAGAAGCTACCTAAACAGTAGGATTAATATCTACCTGGAGATACAAAAGTACCAAGTATACAACTGGAATCCTAAATCTAGTGTTCTTCATCTGGAGCAATTGCAAGACATGTCTCAGTTTTCTTCTTGTTCACTTTTTGTTCTGAAAAACAGGCAGATTTCAAACATTAAACTCCAACCCAGTGTTAAGCACCCTTGCATATCCCACTCAATATTTTGGGTTCCTCATATTTTTATATCTCATGTCTGGAGATAGCATGTTTTTGAGAGATCAATGACCTAGGTCAGGTTCTCAGGAGAAAAGGATTATCCTCACGCCCCCCCCCCCGGCATGTGTACATTCAGGTAAACAAAAGCATAAAATCTAAAGGACTCCTTCCTTCCCCCAAGTAATCTGCATTTCCTCTTGAAACTTGAGACAAAAAAATCTCTTCACATCAAGTAATCTGCATATCCTCTTGAAATTTGAGACTCGTTGAACTAAAAGTGGTAATGTCTCTCTACCTATCCCTCATTGTGTCCCCAGCCAAATTTCCCCATCCATCCGCCTCAGGGATATCTCAGTCCAATCATTGTTTTTGTCACACTAATTAAACCCATCAACCAGTCTAAAATTCCATTGTCAATTCCTGGGACAAGATAGTCAGCCTTTATTACTTGGCTACATATCCCATTGCCTAGGGCTAGTTTTAAGATATAAATATGGCAATCATAGAACTACATGCATCCTCTACCCTGTAGCGATGTGAACCTTGGCTTCAGTCCTCAATGAGTAACCAGTTCAAATCTCTGACTAGGACAGAGTAGCTACATCAGGACCATCCCAGGCCATGGGATTTCAGTGCCAAAACCTGAGAGTTAGGGACAGCCCTAACTCATGTCATTAAGCATGAAAAATGAAGCATCTACCATAGTTGTTCTGAACATGCAATTCAAATAATAGCAAATAAGAAAACTTATTTCTCTGGTTGAAAGTTAACTTTTCTAAGCTGTGCAACTGAATGGAGAAAAGGCACACTTTTCCTACTTTTTTTAACAACAGCTTTGCAAGCACGGTTTTTAAGAACCCATGGGAGTTCTAGTTCAACCAAAGAAAGCTTTCAAAGCCCTCTTTTGAACAATCTACAATAACTGATCTGAAGCAGCCTCCTCCTGATTTAGATATATGTGGATAAAGGCTGGGCCTCTTGAAGGTCTCTTATTCATTGATATGCAAAGGGAAATTGTAGCACTTTTGAGCCTGAGAGAAACAAATTGGTAGCATAAGCTTTCATAGACTTAAGTCTACTTCTAATTCTCATGATTAACCCAAAGCCAACTTGATGGCAAACAATAGCAAACAAGAAGTATCTGTTGTCTCTGTGTTTCTAATTTTCAAGGCTGTGCTCTCAATCTGAGATATTTCCAACTTGCCTTGAAGGATGAAGACTTAGGTCTAGGCCCTGACATCTGACAATCCTAGGCAACATGGAGCTGTAAAACTGCAGTCAGATTGGTGGAGGGGGAGAAGAGGTGAAAAGTAGATGTGTGGAGAAAATGGGATGGAGATAAGATGTGTGTCTGAAGGAGAGGAGAAAGAGCAAGGGAAAGAAAGGGGTTGCACGATGTGGAGATGGAGAGGAGAAAAATAAGGTGGCAGAAATTCTGTGAGGGATAAGCCCACATGGTTATGGCCTGATTCTCCTGGCTTTAAGCTCTGGATCCACCTTGATGTTGTTATTGTGTGTCTACAAGTAATTTCCAACATATGGTGACTCTAAGGAAACCTATCATGGGCTATTCATGGCAAGATTGGTTCAAGGGAGATTTGTCATTGCCTTCTCCTGAGGCTGAGAGCATATGATGTTCCCAAGATCACCCAATGGGTTTCATAACTCAGTGAGGAATTGAATCCTGGTCTCCAGAATCATAGTCCTACACTAAAACCACTATGCCATGCTGGTTCCACCTGCTTAAATCCCACCAGGCCTGTAGCCATTAATTTTGATATGAGGTGGCCTTGGTATAATGAAATTAGTCAGTATGGTTAACTGAGAAATAGATGATGTGCTACTTGAATATTTTGGTTAAGGCACCATGAGATAAATGATCTGTCTGTCCATGCTCTGGGACTGGAGACCAGAGGGACATTTAGGCATTTGGATGGATGGGCCTCCATGCCATCTCTCCCCATGATGTCTATGGGCCAGGATTTCCCCATTTTCAACTGCCTCCATTGTGTTTGGCCCTGCCCACCACTGGCATGTGCCATGACAGTCAACCCATTAGCCTGAAGGACATGTTACCCATGGACGAAAAAAAAGTTCTCCATCCTTGCTCAAGTCATTAATTATTATATACCTATAAAACCCAGCCAGCAATAAGATACCATCTCCTGTTTCAGGGACTGCCTGTGCTTCCTATTACATCAACCATTGTTCCATTTTATGTGCCCCTTTCCTGGAAATTGGGTGGCACTCCTCAGGGAGTGTCTTTGGCTCTGAGCACTCTAGATACTTAGTAATTAGTAGCTCTCTGTGTGTCTGTGCCTTCAAATCACTTGTCAACTTATGGAGACCCCATGAATTTCATAGAGATTTCTTAGGCAAGGAATGCTAATAGGTGGTGTTGCCAGTTCCTTCCTCTGAAATACAGTCTGCAGTGAGCCAGC